AGTCGCGTCCGTGCTCTTGGTCGAAGCCGCGTACGACCCAGCGCGCTTTAAACTTGTCGATGGTGCCGTCGGCCTTCGTCTTCACGCGGAAGACCCATTTTCCGGTGAAAATTGTCTTATTTTGTGCTACGCCGGTGGGAACAACTTTCCACGTGTTGCGTTCCTTCAGTGCCTTCAGCTCCTTGTCCATGGCTTCGCGCCATTTCTCCCTAGAGCCTGTTGAACCGTCGCAGGCTCCTTAGGAATCGCCGCTCCATGAACTGCGGTGACGAGCCCAAGTATCTGGAGTCCACTCTGTGTGTAGCGGGGGAGTGTTGTGTCCTCGGGATAAACTGCTTCATCTCCCGCTTCTGGATCGGGTATGAAATTTGGTCCGACGCGTTCTGCTTCGTTGGTGTTGACTTCTTCAACGTAACCGTCGTCGGCGAGTTTGTAGAAGACTTCTGCGTTGACACTTTTGCGAGGGTTGTCGTTCTCCATTGGTACGTCCACCCAGCAGTATGGGAGTGGTCCGGCTTCTTCCGAGGCTCCTTCCACATTCTGCTCGTCCCAGTCAGCTTCGTCGGTTGCCGAAGCAAAGGCTCGGTCTCCACGAAAACCATCGCTGTGGTCGGGGTTTCCTTCTTGCAAGTTGGCGAGGTAGTATCGCATGGTGAGTCCTTCGTAGAAGATGACATCACGTGCTGCCACTGTTTCCTTTGTCTCGAGGTTGGAAACTTTTCACGCGTTGTAATGCTTTTCAATGCCCAGGTGTAGTCCCCACTGTGCGCGTTGGGAGAATCGGCCGGCTCGTGCAGATGGGGGTCGGTACTGTACCATGCAGCCAAAAACTCTCAACATTTTTGTGCTGCCCAGTTTTCCTGTCCATGCGGTGATGCGTTGTTCGGGAGCGATGATGACGAGAGCAAGTTGTGCAGCATGACGGCGTGGTCCATTGCTTCGGGCCACTGGTGGTTGGGCAGGTGCATGCCACGTAGCAGCTTGCGCATGGTGTTCTGGAGGGTCCTGTTCATCCTTTCTGCTACACCTTGCTGTTGATGGGCGTAGGGAAGGGAGATGAGCCGCTTGATTCCCCTCTCTGCCAAGTACTGCTTGAACCTCTGTGAGGTGTATTCTCCTCCCCCGTCTGACTGGAAGCTCTTTAAGTTCTACGCCTGATTCTCTTTCCGCTACAGGAAGCCAGGCGACGAACGCTTCGAAGGCCATGTCGCGGCTTGGAAGATTGAGGTGCCAAAGGTAACGTGTCGCGGCGTCGATGAACGTGATGGTGTAGTTGTACGCGTTCTGTCCAGGCTCGCGGTTGTACAGGATGTCGCTGTACACCTTCTCGAGTGGTGTGTATACAGGTGCGCTTGGATTGTGATGCGAGACGAACGACTGGTGCGGTAAGTCAGCTTCAGGGCAGGTGAAGCACGTTCCACGGACTCGCTCTCTGCCATCGCGAAGTAGAAGAGAATATTTGTCGAGTACGCCTGCTCTTATCGTGTTGTTTAACACTGTGTTGCTTGGGTGTCCTAGCCTTGCGTGCCAGGTTTCTTCGTTGGCGCGGTGTCCGGGTGAGCGTCGGTACATGTCGGAGTTGGAGTGAAAGCTGGAGGTAAAGTTGGCGCTTCGGTGAACTTCTCGTGGTGCCGAATTGAGCTGATGTGCGGGTGTTGGTGGTGTGTCGTCGATGAAGAGTGGTGCCGTCGAAGGACCAGCGACTGGTGTTGACGTTTCTGCTGCCACCGTTGCTAATTCTGCTGCTGTCGTTGTTGCCGGTGTTGTCTCTGCTGCTGCCGATGTTGTCTCTGCTGCTGCTGATGTTGTCTCTGCTGCTGCCGGTGTTGTTTCTGCTGCTGCCGATGTTGTCTCTGCTGCTGCCGAATGTTGAATCGTCGCTAACGCTCTTGTTCTTTCTGTTTCAGGAATCGTTTCTAAGTACCAGAAGCCTCCAGGGCTGAAGTCTGGATCGAGGTCTGGCGGGTGTGTCCAAGTTGTGAAGTTCACGATGTCGTCGCTGTCGGCGGTGCCGAGGTCAGGGACGAAGTTGATGACGAAGACGTTGTTCTTGAGCACTGCTTTCCCGATGTAGAGTCCGCCTCTCCCGTGGTACAGTTTGAAATCTTGGGTGGTGCTGTCTGCTTCAAGATGAATGCCCTTCGCCATCAGCTGACTGACGCTCAGTAAGTTGTAGCCGAGACCTTCTGCGATTACAACCTTCGACATCTGTAGTATGACGTTTGTTTCTCGTGACTGAAGTTGTACTATGCCTTGTCGTCGTGTGCGCAGGTTCTGGTTGTTGGCGACGGTGATGACGACTTCTCGTTGGAGTTGGTGCTCTCGCTGCACGAAGCGTCATGAAGAACACATGTGTTGTCCGCAGCAACTGTCCAAGAACCAGGTATCCTTTCCGGACGGCTCGCTTTGGGCGATGGCTGCGTACGTCGGGTTTGGTTGAAGTGACTCGCGGCGAGGTGTGGTGTTGTCAAGTTGCTCTTCCGGTGAGTAGTGTGGCGGTGACTCGGTGATGCAGGAGTCGCTCAGTCTTGCCATGCAACTGACGATGTTTCTTGTTCCTTGTGCAGGTTGTCCCGTTGGTGTTGTTGAAGCTTGAACCTGAGTGGTGGGATTTGCCTGCGTTGGGGCAACTTGACTGCTTGAAGGTTGAAGCTGTCGCTGTGGCGGTGTTGACTGTTGTTGATTCGGGCAGTGTGTGCGCGGATGTCCTGACGTCTTGCAGATGTGGCAGAACGGAGGTACTGGTTTCGGCCGTTGTCGGTTGTTATTGTAGTTGTTGCGTCGCTGAGTGTGGAAAGCGAATTCCGATGCTGATGCCTTCCTCTTGTGTCTTTCTTCTTGCCGGTCCATGTCTTGCTGCTCGGCGTGGATTTCGGCGCAAAGTGCTGCTTCGGAAATTCTTCCGTGGGATCGAAGAATGGCTCGAGTGGAGCGCTACTGAGGACCAAGTCTTCCGATGATGACTGTCACGAAGGCGTCTTCGGATATTGTCCCTCCGCATCGAAGAAGCTTGTCGCGCAACTCGCGACAGCGGCTAATATACTCCATCCCCTTTTCTCCTGGTTTCATTTCAACTGTTGTCAGTTGCGCCATTAACCGACTCTGATTGACGCTGTCTGTTGCTTGATACAGGCTCTTCAAGTGGCTGTATGCGAGCTCGGCGGAGTTGCCGTATCCCCGGTAAGACCGTATGTTCTGCTGTTGATTCGGCGTGATGTTCCTCAGTAGAATCGTATATGCCATCATTGACTGGTACGTATACTGCTGCTTGTCGTACTGTGTGCCGTGTGTCGGGTATGGCAGGGACCCGTCGAAGAAGCCAAGTATCTGCGCGCCTTCCATCATCAGCTCGAATTCGAACGACCAGGTGAAGAAGTCCTTTCCATCGAAGGGCCTCGATGTCTGCAGCTTTAAGACGTGCGCGAATTGCGACTGGACTTGAAGCACGTCTAGTGTCTTCTCTTGTCCATGTGAAGGCTGCGGGTGTGGCGTGAAGTTGATGGAGCCGCGCTGGGGCTCGTATGGAGCAAAGGTAGGTTGCTGCTGGTTTCCGCGCGCGTACGATGAACCGTCAAGGCTCATTGGAGTCACTTCATTATTGTTGTTGCTGTTGTTTGACTGCGCAGGTGCTGACTTAGTGTTGCTCGTAGAAGGACATGAAGGAGAAGAACTTCTCCATCATGCTCTGGTCGAAGCTGGCAGGTTGACTTGCTGAATGTGCTGCTGTCTCGTTGCCGTGTCCTCCTATGTGTGCAGGCCAGAGGCAGGAGGTGGAGTAGGAGTAGTGCAGGGGGAGCCGTTAGAGGAGCTCCTTTTCCTTGTGTGTTGCCATGTCTTCTGATGTTGTAGATGACTTGATACTAGTTGAATTCCCCCTGATAGTTCTCATACCATGTTGGGCTGAGAAATAGCCCTTAGGATCTTTGCAGGGGTGAACTCTGGATAGAAACAATGTAATAGCGGAAACGCTTAATAAAGAGGTTGAACCACCTTGCGCTGGTATGTGAGGGCAAAGTTGATTGATTAAAGCAAAGAGATACAAGATTATATAAGAGTACAAGGAATTTAAAGAGATATAGTTATAACTACTTTTACTAACGATGTTGCGGTTCGATACAGTGACGACTCGGGCAACTGCTTTGTAGTGAGTCAGTTGTGTGTCCTTGCTGTCGCGCTGTACTTGTCAGGTCAAAGGTCGCTGACCTTTGACTTTCGCGTAACCTCCAGCAACGGTTTCAACCTCCGAGAGTTGACTCGTCAGTGCTTCGGTATGCTTCGCTTCGCTTGTGCCTTAGTGTTTCGACACGACAGAGGCGCTTAGAATTAATTGTTTCCAACAAGTTGTTCACAATAATCACATGTGTAGTATTTTTTATGTGGTCCTTCCTTTGCAATATGTTTGCTTATACTTGAAATGCATCTTTAGAAGTGATGTTTGTTTAGGTATGACATTTTTATTGAGTGCACGTTTACTCATTACTGTACATTGTGCCACTTTTTGGTGGATGAGGGGTTGCGCACAGTACCCTCTCCCCTCCCCCACCTTTCCCTGCCCCCCTTGTTTGCGTTTGGGAAACGTTAGGTTTTATGCGAGAGTTGCGTGGGGTGTGTGTGGCCTGTGCTGTACTGTAGTGTGTATTTTTCGAACAGTCTGATGAGTGGCGGAACAAGACAATTTTGCGCAGCACAGCACAAACCCCGACGGTTTTGCATACAGTACGCAACCGAGGATCAGTTGAAACAGGTTGTCCACCGAAGAACTCTACGGCTGCGCGGGTACGAAAATCCAACCACCCCGTACGATTGTAGTACCAATTGGAGAACACCTGAGAACTGCGTAATTGGAGTTGTCGGTGGCGAGTCTCGTTGTTAACAGCATCAGGGTACATCGATGCCCTTTAAGGGTAACGGTTTTTGTGCAAGGATAATATATCGATATGCCTTCAAAGTAGCCGCGATGAGATTTTCTCGTTGTCGTGTTGCTTGCCAAAATTCTTCGAATGCTGCAGCACCTCCAGCTGGCAGCAGCTGCTACCCAAAATGACTGCCGTTTTGTCGTTGGCGCGGTTGCGAGGTGAGGTGCCTTCCTCTCTGGTACGCCTGGCAGGTTTGTCGCCTCTGCGGAGGTGACGTGCTTGCACCCACCTCCCCATCCCCAGTCGTTCTTAAGACGTGGTACCTCTAGGGAATTGGCTAGGATTGGGGAGGGTCAGGGCTTCACACCCAGAATTACGATCGTCTGGACTCATCGAGCCACAGGTGCCAGATGGAAAATTTCTGGGGCAAAACGGCGCCGATCTTTACAATTACACGGTCGATGTGTGGGCGCAGGCACATCGATCGTGCGAGCCAGAGGTGCCACCATCTCGGGCACCAATTTACTGTACACTTGCGATCTATGACGAAATAAGATACCAGGCTGTAGGTGATTTCGCGATTTCGTTGTACAAGCCAGGATCGACCCCCACTCAGGATCGTTCGTGGCACCCTCACTGGAGGTGCCGCGTCCTTACCTTCGTCAGTTTTCATACACGAGCTCTTACTAGTCTGTGACTGCAGCCCCAGTTTTTTCGGTTGCTGATGTTGCACTCGCCGCATTCCACTATTTTAGTAAGAGCTTTTCGCCGAGTCTAAGTGCTGCCGCTTTCCATTCCGCCGTCACTTCTATGTGACGACTGTTATTCTTTTTTTGACAGAACTTCTCGCCATCCCGAGGCGTCCCGTCCGCTCCGTCCGCTATCGCCACACCCTTGTTGGACTTCCGCCTCCTTCTCGCCATCCCGACGTCTTCCCCGTTTTCCCGCGCTATCGCCTGTCGCCATGCCGTGCGCGCGCATGTCGGGCCTGTGTGGCGGCCTCGCCGCACTCATCGCGGGTGTCTTTGCCATCAGCTTCCTCACGACCCACGCAAGCGCTGATGCTGGTGAGTAGGCTGACTGCTAGTTGCCACTACTAGTGACGATCGCGCACCAAAAGGATCTGCGGTGCAGAAGTGACGTGGAAGGATTTGATTGGTGACAGTTATTCTGCCTGCTTCTCAGCGAAACTTATCAGAATACAACGCGATATGGTGAGGCGCGTTAACCAATCTCATCATTCAGCAGTGCTGCTAGAACTTACACTATTATCGAAACCTGCTGCGGGTCAGCTTCGGTTTCCGAAACAGTGCGACCAAGCCAGTGGACTAGCCTCGTTCCGAGGCAGTGGGGTTTCCTTGAGGTAACCTCGAAACTCTCCTGCATCCTGATTGGTCAATTTGTTTTCTCGATAGTAAACGACATTCTCGTGAATTTCGCTTGATATCGTTGTTGCCCTCATGTTTCCTGTTGGGTTCTTGAGGGTAACCTCGCGTGCGATGCGTTGAGGTATCCCACGATTTCGAGCCAATTTCGGCAGTTGAATTTTTGGGATGTAGCACTGCCGCACACCACTGCTGGCAGCAGCATCCCAAATTTCTTCTCCACATTACTGTCATGTACTTCTACTATAGAGAGTCTGTATATATACAATAAAGTAGTTATAAGTACACAGCACGGTGCTGGCGTATAGGGGAGTGCTGGAGTGCTTGTTTAACCCGCTTTTTTTGCGTCAAATCACTTCCTCTGCAGACCCGTGTGTCGGCGTGGACTGTGGGTTAGAGGCTACTTGCTTTGCTCTCAGTGCTACCGAATCCGTTTGCAGTTGCAACAAGGATGGTTTTTCCTTCATCGAGGCTGACAGGACGTGCTTCGGTGAGTGCTGCACTGGTGTGCGCAATGCATTTTCTCGAGGCACTCGCATTCTAGCATCAGTTTTCCCGGCGTTTCACACGCTGCACCTGGAACGTTCACCCCTCCTCACTCCTCCCTCCTCAATGGTCTCAATGGTCTCTCAATGGTCCTGCTGCCTCTCAGCCCCGTTGGTGCGGACGACGGTGGCACTGCAGCCAAAAGGCGTCAGCAAGGTGGACGTCACCTTCCGGACAAAGCTGCCGGCAGAGCAGGCCAGTGGCACCACCGCGTGCGGCAGCACGTACGTCAAAGTCCAAGGCATCACCAAGATCACCGTCGTGTGGAATGCATCCAACCCTGTCGCGACTGGCCGCCCCGCGCCTAGCAACGCCATGTGCAAAAGCCTGTCGTTCTACTCTGACTGGGACTGCACGCAGAAGCTGGACTTTACTGCTATCGCGCGACCTGCAAAGGCTGGCCGTTCCTACCCAGTCACCAAAAAGTGAGTGACCGTGATGCCCACGACCAAGGTAACCTACTTTACAAGTTGAATTTATTCCGCCGTGCTTCAACGACGTTCTTTTAACATCAAGTTTTGTTACCAAACTATGCCTGTCATAGTTGTAGCGTGAAAGGAGCGAATGTCGTAACTCGCCTTCATTTTTTGTGTTCCCTATCTTGCCTCTCTCTTGCGCAGGACTTTCAATGTGATCTCTGCGATGCGGTCTGTTGGCTGCGAGACCAGTAAGTGTGCGAGCGCATGCACGTTACACCCGGGTTTTTTCTACGTCGTCTGAAGTGTGTCATGCACACTTAAAAAAAGATCTCCAAACACGCTAGCATGCGCCTTACTCAATTTGACAAAAATTACGACACACACCCTACGTCAGTTTTGGTTGTTCTTTATCCTTTTTCTCTGCATGCATGGATTGTTCGTCCCTCTGTGGGGCCCACGACAGCCACGTGTCACAAGGATTGTGGAGCTGCTGACTGCGTTGTGAAGGACGGCCAGCAGCAGTGCCAGTGCCCCGAGGGCCTCGTGTTCAATGCAGCCAAGAAGCTCTGCCTCGCTCGTAGGTGCCTTGCTGTTTGTTACATGCTTGACAACAATAAAGAATCCACGCTGGAATGCTTGTGGTGCTTTTGTGTCATCATCATCTCCCCGTTCTTTTTAAGCCATCCGCTCTCATTCTCTCTACCTGCTGCCCCAAGTCTCCTCATGCTCTTTCTCCTCATGCTCTCCCCCACCTCCCTCCTCCCAATGACCAGCCAAGTGCAAGCCTGCCTGCTCTGCTAATACCCAGTGCACGTGGGTGGGAGGAAAGTCGGTGTGTCAGTGAACGAAGGGGATCCTGATGGTGGAGAAGAAGTGTACACGTAAGAGGGGGACCGTAAAATGCATGCTCTGCTTTCTGCCTTGCTCTCTTCCAAGCCGGTGCAGCCAGTTAATCCACTCCCACCACCCTAAAGCCATACACCCATGAACCCACATGTTCCTCACTGAATTGCTTTGTATCGTGTGCTCCATTTGCCCCTCTCATTGCAACCCAGAGAGTTTTTTGTGATCAAGGTCACGTTGAAGGGGCTGGTGGACAACGGAAGGGAGGGCAGGCCACCCTAGTTCACGACAAAATGAGGCACGAGGTGGCAGCGCCAGAGGGACGTTTTGGGGGGGTGGAGGGGAGGGACTGCATGCGGTTTCTCGAAGCTAGGAATCAATTTGGCTGATGGTTGGCTTGAGTCTTCAGTGAGTGTGCTTGCTTGTTGGTTGTTTTTGCCATAGAGTCTGGTGGTTCTAGTTCCTTCAGAATAAAGTTTAGCTTTTGAAATAGCATCTCTTTGTGCTGGGTGTCTTCACATATTGTCCTCTAGAATCCAAGTTCTTGCTGATCTAGGGAGGACCATTTATGGTGCCATATGTACGTATCAATTATGGTAAGAGCTTGTTCCTACAGCCTCGTATTAGGTGTTACGAATAGTAATATTCGATATTACTGTACACTCCTCACCGCAGCAAAGGAAGCAGGCAATATCGGTAATGAACGCGAAGCGTCAGACAGTTGGAATTGAACCGAAGAGTCAGACGGTTACAGCACATCTGGACCGTCGGAGCAGATGGCATCGGGCAGCTTCAGGCAGGATGGTTTTGGCGGGAACAGTTACGAAACTGTACGCGCCGCACGGTTGGGAATGAATTTGAATAAGGGAATGTACCCCTTATAGTACATGGCTAGTTATGTCGTTTCGTATTCCCATGTACTCATATTTATATTCCTTGTACTTGCATGTTTCATTCATCTCGAGCATTTTACATTCACTCTGCTATTGAGGTCAAGGGCCCACCAAACTATCTCACTGCGTGCGAACCTTCCTGAGTAGATCCTAGGCCACGATCAACTTCTGATCGCAGCATGGTATCAGAGCGGCTCGGGAATCCTTCGCACTGCCACTCCCGAAAATTACGACATTCGGAAAGTGGCGTCCGGCACACGCTCACGAGTGAAGATGGCCGGAGGATCTGGTGGTCAGACCAATCTGACGGCTGAAGCGCAACCCAACCCGGCTGCGACAAGCGAGAACACGACGACAATCAACTCCGAAGTTCTCGCACAACTCCTTCAGCGACTCACCAGCTTGGAGCAAGGACTCCAAACATTGCGGAACGGCGACGCGGGAACATCCTCACAACCCTCTCAACCGGCCCCGACTGGCCAGAACGCCACCCCGCAAACATTCTCCCTCGACACCAATGGCTCAACCCCCAAGACTCCCCGTCCCAGTGAAGAGGCAATTCTCTCCGCTCAATCAAGGTTTCTCAGCATATCAAAAATAAAGACAAGTACCTGTTTTGACGGCAGAGACTTTTACACCTGGAGCTTCGAGTTGGAGCTCCTGCTGCAGAACGCCCGAATCTTCCATTACTTTGACGGGAGCTACGCGGAGCCCGCTGAGGACACCGACGACGCCAAGGCGAGGTATTACGACGAGTCGCTGATGGCATACGGGGTGCTCCTGCGGAATATGTCGCCGGCGGAGCAGCTCAACATTCGTTCTTACAAAACTTCGGCTGCTCCAGCCCTCAACGCCTGGCGGCACCTGACAGGAGTCTATCAGCCCAAGGACTCTGTCTCTTCGAGCCGACTACTCCAGGAACTCCTGGAAACCAAGATGATCGCAGGGGAGAAGGTCAACAACTACCTTAATCGCTGTCGGAGCCTTCGCGACCAAATCGTGAAGCTGGGAAGCACGATTTCAGAGGAGATCTTCGTCAACATCGTGCTTCAAGGGCTTGTCCAGAGTGGCGGCCCTGCAAGGCGTCACTCCGACAGCAGGGGGTCATCTCGGAGGCCGCCCTTTGCGCCGCCCTTCTCGTCGAACAGAGGGATATGGATCAGCAGCGACCTGCGCCGCGACGAGAACGCGAAAGGCTCGCCTTCTACGCCGACAACACCGAAGAGCGAAAGCCACGGCGCCTCTACTGCAAAATCTGCAGAAATTTCGGGCAACTGTCGGATCGATGCAAGAACCGACCCCGCCCTCGCCAGACCAATCCGAGCACCTGGTCCGGCCGACAAGACGCACGAGGCGACATGCGTCCAGCCCAAGGGTATCAGCCCCCTCCCGCGCGCAACCTGAACCCCCTTAGTTCAGCATCAGCAGCAGTAGCCGTCATCGACCGCACCCGTGCGAAATGTCATGAGCAACATGGCCATGACAGGCGAGTCACGTCGTCGCCGCGTGCGCTCACCCTCACCTGAGCCAGCACCGCACCCCATTGGCGCGTTCAACAACAACAACCCATTCAGCCCGCGCCACGACTTCACCGACGACGACGACCAGGACTGGAACCTCCCAGTCCCGCTGCTTGAAAGTCCCCCGCACGTACCTGATATGCGGGTGGCGCCACTTGATTGGCTCTCGCGCGAGCAATTTCTCAAGTTTGACACCCCGCACATCGTCACGCCGCGACTGGCGCTGCTCGCACGTGACGACAACAAGCGCTACAACACCTGGTACCTGGACAGCTGCTGCGGCCAGCATATGGTGGGGTCCGAGCGCTACATATCCAACGCCGTCCCCACACCTACCGTCACCTACGTCACCGTGGCGAACAACACACGCCTGCGCGCAAGCGCGCAAGGCATCGTCGTGCTTAAAGCACGCGGAAGCCGCACGCACATCACGCTCAACGATGTGCTAATCGTCCAGAACCTGCGCTTCAACCTCTTGTCCGCCGCACAGCTCATGGACTGCGGCGTCGACCTCAGCACGGACCGCGCGACGCGAGATATCCTGCTGCACTATGAGGCGCGCAACTTCCCCCGCAGGCAGATCGGACGAGCACACTCCGAAAACGGAGTATACGTCCTGGATTTCGATATTCCCGACTGCAGCGGCGACTCGCACGAGTTAATCGACCTCGTGCCACTCCGCCTCGAGCACATCCACCGCAGGGATTGGAAGCACCCTGACGGAAGACCGTGGGTGCCGCATCATCCCCACCCACGCGAAACGGCGCTGCACAACCCCGATCCAGATGGGATCTGCAGGGACTGCCACACGCCGACGACATCAACGAGCGCGATCGCCGGCCGCGGACTCGCCGCCATTGCGGAAGCAGAGCGACACGCGCCAACAGAAGAAGGGATGTCGCAGCTCGAGCTTGAAGTAACCACCCACGCCGTCTTCGGCACGGCAGAACATCCTCTCGTCGGCCCCCCCTCACAGCACCTTCAAGGAATGCTGCGCGGAACTGGGATCGGCACCTTCGACGCCCATGGCGAGCCGCGACCCTACACCCGCGAGAAGTTTCTGGAAATTTATTCCCATCGCCGCGACTTGTCAGAATCCCAGCCACTAACCACTGGGATAAAAGGGCTTGTTTGTGTAGCGGGTGAGTGCGCCCATAACCCCCCAGGCCGCCGTGCCTGTAACCCTTCCCTAGGATCAATCGGGGATCACCAGTGGACCTCTGACACCCCCCCGCACTGGGATGCCCAAGGTGCACACACCGGGATTCGAACCCGAGACCTTCGCTCTGATACCATGTCAGAATCCCAGCCACTAACCACTGGGATAAAAGGGCTTGTTTGTGTAGCGGGTGAGTGCGCCCATAACCCCCCAGGCCGCCGTGCCTGTAACCCTTCCCTAGGATCAATCGGGGATCACCAGTGGACCTCTGACACGACTCGTCGAAGAAACTCACCGTGGAACAAGAGGAGGAACTGGCGCGCCGCGAAGCTGAGGAGCTTCGCCAGCAAAGCCTCGCGGAAGCCCGCGGGACCTTCGCTTGCGCCGCCTGGGGAGCCGAGGAGGAAGCAAGCGCCTCCAATGAAGGGGGGTGGGGAAGCGCTGGAGGCTGGGGAACGAGCACAACTAGCGGATGGGGAGATAACGGCGGAACCTGGGCAACTGCAACTGGCGGATGGGGCGCCGCATCCGGCGCCGACAATAGCGGCTGGGGCACTTCCCG